CATTCTCTTTCAAGAATCCTCTCTCTTTCAAGAATTCTCCGATCCTGCTGGTGGTTCTCAAAATGGCCGAAGGCCAAAACAAGGGTAAACCTGTGTCTCTCTCTGTCTCTGTTTCTTGCATCTCTCTGTCTTTGTTTCTTTGTATCTCCCTATCTCTGTTTCCTTGTGCCTCTATCTCTCTCTTGATTTCTTGATTTCTTTCTTTCTTTTTGGTTGTTGCAAATCAATGCAAGCTATTGTGCCACAAAACTCAATCAATTTGGGGTAAAATTTTGTTTTTAACATGGTATACAGTTTTTCTTTAAATTATATTGATGTTTCAATTGAAAATGAAAAACAGGCTTTGAAGATGGAAACGCATGATTTGATTGATTCAGTCTGTCGACATAAGAAAGTGAATACCAGAAATGTGAGTGTTGTATATTATCATTCAATATATAAATTGTGTTTTTTTGTTAGAATTGATAATATATATCTATATATATAGGGAAAGGACAAGGGAGAGAAAGCAGATGATTACTCGGATGAACCAATGGAGTGCATTGCGTAGCCAATTGTGCTTGATTGGTGGGCCAAGAAGCTTAGGGAGCAGAAGCGTCAAGAAGAAAGAAAACTGAAGTTGGTTGTCACAGACTTGGTTGTTTCCAAGCTATCCGTGCGGCACTTAGACAATCTCAAGTTTTACTTGTAGATGCTAAGTCAGCCTAACTCACAAAGTTGTAGGAAAGAGAAGCTTAGAAGAACACAAAGAGAGAGTTTGAGAGAATGCCTTGTATTAACTTTGAGAAAGCTTACAACTCTTGGTTGCACTTGGGTTTACTTACGTGGTTTGGCCAAATGAGGCCCTCCCCCTTTCATAGGCTACATAGAACATTCTAGAACTATACTAGTGGAGAGTATTCTAGACACTTCCTCCCACTATATCTTATGGACTATTCTGGAAGTATTCTAGATCTACATGGATGGAGAGGATTCTAGATCCTTCCCTCATCCTCTCAAAGAACCTACTCTAGAATATACAAGACTTATGTACAAGCTTCTAGAACTATGTACAAGGTCTACCTTTCTCTTGAGTGTTCTAGAGGTTTCCAGCATCCTTCATGGTATTCATACTTTCTCAAGTTCTTCCAAGAGCTTCTAGAGTATTCCCTTAGCCTCTCTTCCTTGAGACTTCCTTTTTGTAGGTAATCCTGTATTGGTAATTCGGTGGCACGTGACATAGTGCTCCACGCTGCTGTTGACGATTTCAATCTGCTAATGTAGACGGTATCTATTTTTCTTTTATCTTGGTAGTAGAGACAAAAACTAACATACATATGCAATGAATAAAGATTTCATCTCTCTCTGTGTGTGTCTTAAAATATTGATATATTCATGTGCATGTATTTGATGGGAGGGAGAGAGAGAGAGAGAGAGAGAGACAAACCTGTCGATGGGAGGTGAGGAGACGGTGAGCGACAGTGGTGATAAGACGACGAGCGACGGTGATTGAGGGACGGTGAGTGAGGGAGAGCAAGCGACACTCTGTTTTTTTCTTTGATTGGTGTTTGGTGTAAAATTCAATGTTGGAATGATGTGGTACATTGCTACATACATTATTGACTGATTGAAGGTGTGAAAATGAGCTTTTCCAATCAGCCCAATGGGAGACTCCTTACGTTTATTTTGTTCAAGTAAGAAGTTGGAGCCAAAGGTCATTATCACTACTAAAAATCAGCCTGTGGATTCTTTATCAAATGGTTTCTCTCGGAAGACTTTGCAATGTATGACTTCAACGAAACATGGGTTAATTGGAAATGGGGTTGTTGGTGATATAGGACTCTTTATAGTAAAAACTGCAGCCCTTGAGATTGTACGGAGGTACACAAGCGCCAAGTGTCCTGTTGCTTGGCGTGGCCTTCAGGCATTGCAAGTTCTCTACTATCCACCATTTAAGTGGATCGAAAGATGGACACCCTTTAAAGCTTTGGTTAAATAGACGCAGGTTGGTTTTATAGGCACATTTATATGAACATGTCTATGTTGGATGTGTAGCTTTAGAAGTAATTGGAAAAAATTTAAAACACGAAGGGTAAAGTGAGAAATAGAATTTCAAGGGCCAAAGTGAAAAAATGGCTAAATATAAAGGAGACAAAAGTGTAAAATAAATCAATTTGATTTTTTCCCCCATAAATGATCTGTTTAATTGATGCGTACCTTCTTGTTAACAAATTAAGAAAAATAAAAATAAGGAAAAAAGATCTACTTCGAAATGAAAGACCTCATGTTAATTCACATTGAGGAGAACTAACCTATTTTTCTTCGCAAAGGAAGACTGATAATATTTTTCTTCTCTTATTTCATCAATAGAGATGGTTTACATATATACAAGAAAACTACAAACCCACTAAGCCCATGATCCTATAAAGTAGGAAAACTGTATACTAAACCACTGCCAAAAATAAATATAAATGTATTTTAACTTGATTAAAATGAATACAAATGTGAATGGATGAATAGGTAAACGATATCCGATTAACTTGATTTTTTGCAGGCATGTTCTACTTGATGTATTCTAAAATGTGAACGGTTCGGATTATTAAAATGGACTCTGAAATGGGTCCAAATCGCTGCACAACAGACACTCATGCGCGGGTTGCGCAGCAGCGTCCCCACTTCCACTACTAATCATATCTAATAAACAATAAAATAAAATGACATATAAGATAAAATAAAAATATTTAGCTTCTGGTTTCTCAATGTATCACTTAAACTTGTACAAACTCTTTTTAGACACTTTGAACCCGCAACACTAATTGTTGATTTTCCCTTTATCAAGATATCATCTTTCTCAATATTTTTATTTGTGTTGTTTTTAACCATCTTTCAACTTTTTGAAATTCGTGTTGTTTTTACCCATCTTTCAACTTTTTCATCTTCAAAACTAAGTGTTTTTATCGGCATTTTGATGTCATCGAGAGATTTCTTGAACTGCTTGCCAATCTCGATCATATTAGAGACAAGTGCTTTAATCTCTACTATATCTTCATGCATGGACTCCATGATCTCCGATGGTGTAGCCATTACCAAAGATCAACCGCTCTGATACCACTTGATACATACCTTCTTTTTAACAAAATTAAGAAAACAAAACAAAACAAACCAAAAACAAAAGAAATAGGTGAGCAAGATCCACTTCGAAGAGGAAGACCTCTTGTTGGTTCACATTGAGAAGAACCTAACCTGTTTTTCTTCACAAATCCTTAAACCCATGATCCTATAAGGTAGGAAAACTATACACTAAACCACTACCCCTTGACCCTTAACACTAACTAATATCTAATAAATAATAAAATAAAATGGCATACATTAATGAGTTTTACAATATGAATAATTTGAATCATCAAGGTGACCCGTATGATAGGCCCACAAAGGCCAAATAATATCTCTCGTCCAGCATAGCTCTATTTGTTGAATCTCTTTCAACTTATATAATTTATGTAATTCAATTTTCTTAAATATAATAAGATTATAACATTAAAAATCTACATTTAACATGCAATTTTATTTTTTTATTTGTCACCTTATATCTTTCAACTCTTTTTCATTTTTCAATCATTATTTCACTACGAACCCACCTGCCCGACTTTGTTCCCATTCCCATTTAGAAGGCAATAAATTACTTGTTTCTCCATTCCCCTTGTTTCTTCTCAAGTGCAAGCTTCTCAAAACATTTATGGATAGCTACTTGGTAAAATACTTGCCTTGAAATGACCCTTAAATTACAACTCTTAAATGACCCTTATAATTTGCAAATGCTATTGCCAAGCTAGCTTTTGTACCCAGATAATAGTTTATAGCATTGATGGTCCAAAATCCACAGCTTGACCTATATATATATATATATAACTCAGTCCATAATATTGACAATTATTAAGTAATCCTAACAAATGCAAAACTGCAAAACACATCATTCATTGTCTCTCAACTTCTTAACAAAGGTGAGTTCACATTATCCCACCAGTAAGTTTGAATAATACATGGACAACATCACTACTGAATAATCACCCAATATCGAGTAGTGGACCTCTTCTTGCAAAAACTCATCCAATTATCTTCCCCTACTTGCACAACCACCTAGCTGCTTCTCAAAAGGGTGTTCCTGAATTGCAATCTTTAGCATTTGTGTAGTTTAGGTGGGAAAAAAAAAATCACAGACACAAATACAGACATGGAGAGAGAGAGAGAGAGAGAGAGAGAGAGAGGGAGAGTATAATTCTGTTGTGTCAGAGAGAGGGAGAAAAAAGGAGAGTGCAAAATTACAATTCACCCCTATTTTTATAGAACATGTGTCAACAATATTATAGGGGACTTCCAAAGCATCCATAAATCCCCTATTACTAAATTAATAATTAACCCCCAATGGTCGGGGCATGTCCTAATATACACCGAAGGCTGTGACAGATTAAAGTGCCAACCAAGGCCAGGAGTTAGCACCTTATAGACTTCAATAGCTTTACAAACGTAACCCCAAAAAAATCATCTTGCGTTCAAGCTTCTAAAGTTGTAGATTGTCGCCGTTGGTCTTCAGCTCATCCGCAAAATCAGGGCTTCGAGTAAGCGGATGACTTTTTGACTAATTACGAAAAGATGTGCAAAAAGTAGAGAGAAAAGAGAATCTTTGACTTTTTGGTATGGGTTGTTGGCTTTTTGACTAATTTAGTAACTTTTTGGCTAATTGGCTAAGATAGCCTCTTGCCAAACGAGGCCTAAGTTTGAATAATACATGGACAACATCACTACTGAATAATCACCCAATATCGAGTAGTGGGCCTCTTCTTGCAAAAACTCATCCAATTATCTTCCCCTACTTGCACAACCACCTAGCTGCTTCTCAAAAGGGTGTTCCTGAATTGCAATCTTTAGCATTTGTGTAGTTTAGGTGGGGAAAAAAAAAAATCACAGACACAAATACAGACATGGAGAGAGAGAGAGAGAGAGAGAGAGAGAGAGAGAGAGTATAATTCTGTTGTGTCAGAGAGAGGGAGAAAAAAGGAGAGTGCAAAATTACAATTCACCCCTATTTTTATAGAACATGTGTCAACAATATTATAGGGGACTTCCAAAGCATCCATAAATCCCCTATTACTAAATTAATAATTAACCCCCAATGGTCGGGGCATGTCCTAATATACACCGAAGGCTGTGACAGATTAAAGTGCCAACCAAGGCCAGGAGTTAGCACCTTATAGACTTCAATAGCTTTACAAACGTAACCCCAAAAAAATCATCTTGCGTTCAAGCTTCTAAAGTTGTAGATTGTCGCCGTTGGTCTTCAGCTCATCCGCAAAATCAGGGCTTCGAGTAAGCCTGTGAAAGAAATCAAAATAAGAAATACATTGAAACGACGCAGATGATTTTCCAATTCCTTGACGTTAAACATGACAAAGTTTAGGGACGAGGAGTTTCAACCAGGTTAATTAGAATGATGAAGTGCCCACTGAAGAGTATCCAGTGGCTTTTAACTCCTTGAGAGTGCTTGCTAACCAGTCCAAGCCCTCATAAAGTCCGTCTCCTTTAAGAGCGCAAGTCCCTTGTATATGCCATTTTCTGTTCTTAAGATCATAAAGCCCCAGTCCTTCACACACTTCCATTGGTGTCATTGCTCCTTTCTGAATACAGGGGGAAATATAATAAGATCCTGTGACTTCTTTTTTTTTAGCTTCATTCGTCACTATATATATGATCAAAATACAAAATAAAAAAAGAAAGAAAGAAAAGAAAAGAAAAGAGAAGAGAGTAGCGTTTGGTTGATACTTGTTATTAGTTGATTTCCCTGCAAAATTTGAACTCACTTTTTTCTTTCACCATGCAAATGCACAACATTGACAAGAAGATAGCATAAATGAAGATAGATTTTCACAACATAGTAGAGGCAGTTGTTATGTGTGATTCTCTCTTACAAGAATGCGGGAAACATACAGCTTCAAGAACTTGCAAAGATCAGCATTACAAAAATCAAGAAGCTATGAGAATTATCAAACTGGTCCCAAAAGAAAAGGTAAGAAACAACAATTAGGTATATCTGGCTGTTAAACACTAACCAAGGTTGTTTCACTAAGCTTTGAAAATCACATGAAGATGGATGCAATTTTCATCTAATGTTAATAAAACAGGCACGAAAAGCCTGGCAGTGAAGGAGTGAGCATCTTCACAGTCTAGGTTGCTTCTGGTTGGATGTTCTGTTTAGGTGTATTTATGTACTTTGGACTTCTTTAATATGAACACATGTTTATGGGAGGGAACCTTAATTCTGGGTTTTCTTTCAATAGCCGTGTATAGTTTATTCGTCTTCTCTCTCTCTCCTCTCTTACTATATCATTCTTAAAACTTTTCTAGTTCATTTAATATACCTTTATTTTTCTTTAGGGTAAATTACACTGAGACCCTTCTGAAGTTTATATTTATTGCAGTTCCCCCTCACATTTGAGAAATTACACTAACCTCCCTTATCAGTGTAATTATTTGACGGTATTAACTTTTAAGTTAAAATGACATATTTACCCTTAACCTTTACATATACTTTAAAGGGTACATTACATTGACACCCCCCTGAGGTTTCAATTTAATACGAATCCCCCCCTGACATTTAAAAAAAATAAAAACTAATTTAACAAAAATAAATATGAAGAAATATATTTAATTTGTAAAAAATTATTTCTAACCACTCGAAAGATAAAAATTATATAAAAATGATAATTATCTTTTATTTTTTACTTCTTAACCAAATAAATTTTTAATTTTTTAAAAAAATTTCTAAAATAAATTTCTAAAAATCAAACCATACATAGTCTAAGAATCTTTTGATAAGTCATTTCTTACATTGGTAACTTATTTAATTATTTGTTAATTTTACGACATTTTTACCATCTAAGGCCTGTTTGATAACCATTTCGTTTTCAGTTTATATTTATAAAAATTTTAAAAATTGTCATAAAAACTTGTTTGATAATTTTTTTAGTTTATAAATGGTTGTCTCAATTTGTAAATTTGAGGAAAAAAATTTAAACTCAAAAAATGCGTTTACGTTGGTTTTTAAATAGAAATTAAAATTTTGACTAACAATTTTTTTTTTCAATTAATTTTTTTTCCAATTAATTTTTTTTCAACTAACAGTAACCCGGGGGGCAATTGGTAATGCTATTTTAAAACATTGGGGAGGGGATTGTAATTTCTAAAATGTGGGGAGAAATTGTATTAGTTGCAAACCTCAAGGGGTGTCAATGTAATTTACCCAGTGAGGACAAAATAGGTATTTAAAAAAATTAAATTGCTAACATTAGCAAAATCTATTAGTTGACTTAACAGTCAACTAACTGAGGGAGCACTCTGTAATGAAACTTTAAACCTCAGGGAGGGGGATGAAATTTTCAAAAGGTGAGGAGAGAACTGTAATAAATATAAACCTCAGGAGTGTCAATGTAATTTACCCTTTTCTTTATTTTTTGAAAAGACACGCTTTTTCAGAAATCTCCAATCAGGTTGTGTTTTGGTCAAACCAATGTTTGTGGAGCACCATCAGTAGGTGACGCCTAGGGTTTCTGGAGCGTACCCATACCTGTTTGCAGTTTGAGGATATTTTTTGGACAGGGATTCAACTGGGGCATTTCCCTGCCATACAGTACTTCTTTCTTCTGGGTTTCTTCAGTTATATAAGTTGTTTATTCTTCAATAAGCTTCTTTTTTTTTTTAAAATAATCGAGAACCCACCTCGGGCAAGGCCCTTTGAACCCACCCTAGGAAGGTAATAAATAACATGGGAAGCGTACCTACTTACCAACTTGGATGGCCCCTCCAGCGTTTCAATGCGCCTTTCGTTGTTGATATTTGTCTGCTTTTGTGAGGATTACTTGGGATTGTTGGATTTGTTAGCGTTTGAATCAGTTGGGTAGTAGTTTTTTTGTTATGGACATGCAGAAGGGAGTAAGGTCTCCACAAGCAGTGGGAAATGTAAAATTCAGGAAAAGGAATCAATTGTCAGAGAGCGGGGTTGAATTGTGTTGGGACTCTTGGTAATAGCCAATCTATTCAGATTATCCCAATTAAGTTGAATGGTCCTACCTATTTTGTAAGGTCTTGTTCTTTTGTAGTCTGCCTATTATCGCCCATCTCTTGACTGGTTAATACTGGGGCCCTCAAGGAACCCGTTGAAGATGGACCCGCATGAAATAAGTGGCCTTCAAAGAATGCTCTTGTCATGACCTGGTTGATTAACTCCATACATCCCACTATTAGTCATACTTTTTTGTTGATGGACACAGCACATAAGATTTAAACAACAGCAACACAAAACTACTCTCAGAAGGGTAATAGGCGTGTGAATTTTAGGGGGAAAAAATTGTGAGTTGGATATGAAGGATTGGTCTCTTGCTGTGTACTCTTCCAAGTTGAGTAACTTGTGGCAGGAGCTTGACTATTACAAGAGATTTTAGGCTGTTTGTTCCACAGATGCAGTCATATGTCAGCAAAAGGTGGAAAATGAATGAGTTTATGATTTTCTCATTGGTTGAGTCAAGAGCCTTTTCCACCCTTAGAGAGGCCCTATGCCATGGTTCAGTAGAAGGAGAGTCAGCGTAGTGCTATGGTGCATCTCTCTAGTCAGGACTACTCTGCTTTGGTTGTTATTACTACTCCATCAAATAAAAAACCAGGTTAGACTAAGTCAGGGAGTAAGGGCAGCTCAATTGATTGTGATTTGTCGAAGTGTGATTATAGTAGGAAAGAGCGGCATGACAAGCAGCATTACTGGAAGTTAAATGGTCACCCCACTTGGGGGTTGACGTGGTGGACCTCTGCTAGCACTTCTGGTAACACTAATGCCCTTTCTCAGGATGAGGTGCTAACCCTCCAGCATCTCATAGCTCGATTTAACACTTTGACTCCTATAGCTTCTACTTCCTCTTCTAACTTTGCTTACACAAGTATTCTTGTTAGTGTACTTGGTACCTATTCTAACAGGTTCTTCTGGTATTTTCTATTTCTACATTACATTCCTTGTTCTGGTAAGGACAAGGTTAGAGCTGCTGATGGTTTTTGTCCTCTGTATCTGGGAAGGGTTCTATTCACTGATCTTCAAAAATTTCTCTCATCTATTCTTCATGTTCCAATGTTTTTAACTAACTTACCCTCTGTTAATAGTGCCGCTCCTCCTTAAACTGCTCGTGCTTGGTCACATTTTTTCCTACACATTGAAGTTGTTTTCTCTCTGGTGGGGGCAAATATGTACTTTCAATAACTTAATCTTGTGTGTCTATTGACCTGTTATAAAACAAGTGGTATACCACTAAGTGATAAGATAATTTAGGAGGGAAACTGAAACCTTGTCCCGTCAACTTGGGGAGAAAATGTTTTGTTGCATCCCACATAGGGAACTTGGCAACTTCGAAGAAAACCCTCCCCAATACAAAGGGAAAGACTTCTCATGTTTACTTCCAAATTCACATGAGATTCCTCTTTAAGGGGATAACCATTAAGAGAGTCTTTTAGTTATTATTTTTGTGTATACATGTTAAAAGAAAGGATCTATATACTTTGGAAAAAAGGGAAAAGATCAATATAAAGTTTGGAAAAAACTAACTATGAGCATTACAATTCAGGTAAAATGCATATATAGATCATATGAACATAACATCACAAGGAATAAGACATTATCACCATTGGATATCTAGAAAGAAGCAAGCAGATTAATGGCACCATGACTAATGACATTTAACACAAGCAGCACATGCTCCATATAAATGCTTTCATCAGGGTTGTTGGGTTCACTGGATGGTTATACATGTTCCACTGCATCTGATTCCATGTAGCATGGATGTGAACGCAACATTGATTCAACACAATAATGACAAATTGAGACCACAATTTCTGATATTTGTAGTAGTGCAGAGTGACTATACAGTAGCATTCAAGGTTCCATTTTTTCCCCACATCTCCATTCTTCTCTAATTTGGAAATGTACAAAAATGGGTATCTTTAGTCTCAATCATAAGAGTACCTATACACCATACTCCTAAGTTTCATTTTTTTAAACAAATAAGCCTTGTTGCTAACAAAAGGAAACACAACAACTATATTAATATCTCTCTATATATATAAGAACCGCTTAGCTGCTTGAGGTTTGTCTTTTCTTTCCGATTTTACTCTTTCAATTTGAATAATTTACTAATGGTGATCTATATATTGAGGGAAGGTTTTTTTCGTAATTACGCAAACATTCTTGGTCAATTATGAAACATAAATCTTTTTTTTTTTAACAAATTACAAATATACCCATAAGGTTTGTTTAAAATATGAATCAATCCTATAATATTAGAAATTACAACTATCGTTTGTTATAAATTTTCATTTAACACAATCCTCAGGGGAAAAGAAGAAAAAAAAAAAAACTATTCTCCTATGCAATAATAAATTATCAAAATTGTTTATTGAAAAATATTTCTCATATCATTAAGAACTATTAATTAACTTAATGATTTATTTATTAACAAAATGGTTAACTGAAAAATATTTTTCATATCATTAAAAAATTTCAATTTACTTAATGATTTACTTATTAATAAAATTGGTCATTTGTTATGCGGGTATGATTTATATATTAATAAAATTAGTCATTTGTATATATATTTATTTTCTTCTGCGTCTTTATTAGTTTAGTAAGTTATCTTAGTAATTTTTTTTAGATGAGAGAATCATCTTAGTATTTGTTTTATATTTATCTGTTGAGAAAAGTTACACACTATAATTCTTTTGCTTTTTCTTTTTATAAATTCGGAAGAAATGTTAAAAACTCATAAATTCACCCAAAATGATATGATAATAGAATTGGAGTCTACATCACTGGGTATCTAACAAATCAGAAAATAATACATATCACACCACATAATTCCATCATATATTTAATGATTTATTCTATTTAATTTTATAGAACAATATTTTAATTTTTTTAAAATTATTAAAATACGAAACTTTAACATACTGTAATAATAACCCGTGCCTTGCACGGGCTTTTTAAACTAGTATATATATATCTATGACAAAATTGATTAAACACCAAGTATAAAACTATTATCCCCAATATATGATTTAGTATGATTTATTTTTTTGCAGGTAGCGTTTCAGATTTTTCAGAGTTCAAATCCATGCACCAGTTTTGCATCCTCATTCGATGGGTCTAAATATACGGACATATAATTACTTCATAAACATGAATAGATGACTTGGAAATAACTAATCTAACATACCATGTCCTGTTTGTTTGCAAACACCAGGATGATGCTGTTAAGCATAAATGGATCTCTTATGATGGCCTGAAAGAAGAATAAGCCAAGTGAGTAACCACGCTCACAACTGGATTCCTTAGTCAAAAACCATATAAAAGATATGACCTGAAACTCTTGTTTTGCTTTTCCGATTCTCTCTCGATCCAAAGAGTCCACAACATAAATCTGAAAATATGGAAGACGGAAGTCATCAACCTATGCGAGTGGATATCCTAAACTTTAAAAATTGCATCTAGACAAGAAGGGGCTTCTCTCTTTTTCTTTTTTTTCCCCTTTGTCGGTGTCTGGGTGGGTGGGGGGATGTAAACAACGCAAATATGATGCACTAAATTAATGCTATGCCACCTAGCCATTGAGAAAAAAGCCACTACCACAAATCAAATATTAAAAGGCATAAATCCAGCTAAAGCAAGGACAGCAATTTAAAAATGTGCAAAAATTGATAACTAGAGAAGACATCAGCAACATTGACTAGAAGACTTATTGTTACCAGTCCATCAGTGTTATTGAAGTAATGCCTCCATAGTGGCCTTAATTTCTCTTGTCCGCCTACATCCCACACTGTGAATACCACATTCTTATACTGCACTTTCTCCACATTGAAACCTACACAATATACATGAATTTTAATCAAATCCCGTATAATCAATATTTAGCTCTAAACTTCAATAACATACCAAATTGTGCTTTTGACCATCAAGCTAATTCCAAATGCACAAATAATGAAATGTTTGGAAGACAATAAAAGTAATGCAAAAATGTTATAACTATGTGAACCAAAGGAGAAATCCAAAGAAGCCATCCTACCAAGCTACCATTCAACGTTTGAGCAGAGTAATAAGTCCAAGGCTATAAACTGATAGCTGATGGTCTCAGATAACAAATTACAAGAACACTGGTAAGGATGGATGCAAAGGCAACCAACGTTGATTTTTATATAATCTTTTGTAGTTGTGTGTTCACGTTAACTAATAGACATGAGAATTCTAACTAAAAAAATGAAAATAAGTGTCATTACATTTGCAATAGGGCAGCCCTATTGCATGAACAATAGTGGCTTTTGCCAAAGCAAAGTACAGTTGTTTAAAGCAATTAGCAATTGTACTCTGCTTGAGCAAAAGCCATAATTGTTCTGGCTATAATAGCAACCTAATAGCAAAGGACCAAAGTATATAGATAACTGCACTCCCAAAAACAGAGCTATAGTAAAACATATACCAAAAGCAATACATGTGCGTTGCAAATACAGTTTTTCCAATCATTGGAATGAATCCTGCATCAAATTCCTGATTTACAGAGTTTTCATACAACACAACACATGTCAAAGACAAACCAATTGTGGAGATATACATATACATTGCTATTATTCACTTGTGAAAGAAAGATAAAGGAAGTAAATCGAAACCATATAAATTTTTACCATGAGCAAACTATATCCATTGAGCAAATATAGGTTCGATCAAGACTTGTTATATTTCCGTGATATGTAACAAGTTGGACTTCTAGATTACTAGTGGTGAGATTCTTTTTCTTATGTTTTCAACCAACTAACTTTTAACAAAATTTGGAGACTTCCTTTTTATAGAATTTCATAAAAATTTTGTATATTTTGAAGAAGGAAAATGCTATACAAAAAATAAATAAATAAATAAATACATTAACAAACTTTTCTTACAAACTGATGTGGCAAGGAGTGATACAACTTTGGAATGTGAAATGAGGCCCAGTTTCACATCAGTTTGTAAGGAAAGTTTGTATAGCACTACTCTTTGAAGAATGTTAAAATACATAGGATTTTTTTTTTTCTCTCTCTCTCTCTCTCTTTGAATTTAATATTTGACAATACTTGCTACCTAGAAATATTTTCTTTCTGGCCTTCATGATGAAAGTGATCTATACAGCAACTCAAAAAGCAATAAAACATGTAAAAGACTTCTCATAGCCAGAGACATACCAATTGTAGGAACAGTTGACAACACTTCTCCAATGTGCAGTTTGTACAGGATGGTTGTTTTACCAGCAGCATCCAAGCCAAGCATCACAACCTACAACAGTTAATTATGAATCACAATCATACAAACCAAGGCACGTATCAATAAATAGCATGAACAACCAGCACACACCAATCTCAAATCAAAATTTGAACGGTTCAATTCAACATTTTGGAGGAAAAGCCAAAATGTCATTTGCCTACTAAATGTTAGACATAAGCACTAAATGAAAAGCTACAGTTCCACAACATAGAAGAAGAATGTAAATATATTTCCCTAAATACATATGAACATCTCAAAAGGAAACACGGAACAAAATTCTAGAAGTGATAAGACACAAGTCAAATGAGAAAAAACAAAGAAATGACAAATGTCAAACCACGATTATAAAACATGGGTTACTTTTAACAGGACAAAACAGAAACGTGGTTTTGGGGGGGGGAGAGGTGGAAGAGGGGGTTGGGGTCTTGCAAAAGTGTGATTTCTAAAATATATAAAATGAACACCACACATATGAGTCAAGGAAAGAATGACCCGGAAAAAAAAAAAATTCACCTAAAATGTTACAAATAAAGAATCTTCTATCATACAAACACTTGCGCAAGCATATGGAATACATGTTCGAGTTTTGACAAATGATATAATTGTCCACTATTCTGACATGGTTGCTTCAAAATGTGAAAAGTGCTCGTACTAAAAGTGCTATGTTACAAAAAATATTTTTTATTCTACAAAATAAAAAGAGATTTCTACAAATTTATCCAAAAAAAAAAAGAGATTTCTAAAAAGAAATGAATTAGTTGTGTCCTAATGACCATCAATAGGGGAATCAATGGTTTGAAAGCTTAGACACAGACCGACACCTGTCTCATGTACCCAAAGTCTCATGTAGCATCGCTCCATATTACATTCATGTCAATAAAATATTGGCCTTGATGATTTTCCATTTTTTCAAGTTTAGGTGTGCGTGTGTGTGTGTGTGTAAGAGATGGAGAGAGTAGTATATAACATCTTTAAAAAAAAAAAATTAAAAAATAAAAAATAAATAAAAAAAACTATCATACAACCACTCAAAAGTGATTTCATGAAGAACACAAACAAATTATTTGTTCGCACAGCCACTAAATGCACTTGATCTCACCAAGTACAACCTTTATTTTCAATCAATTTGTGCATATTCCTAAAGCTAATTCTACTATTAATCTTTGACAAAACGATGGGGCAAGATCAAGTACCAAAAGGAAGTTCATAAACTTATGAAACAATTTACAATAAATTAAAAAAACTATCATACAACCACTCAAAAGTGATTTCATGAAGAACACAAACAAATTATTTGTTCGCATAGCCACTAAATGCACTTGATCTCACCAAGTACAACCTTTATTTTCAATCAATTTGTGCATATTCCTAAAGCTAATTCTACTATTAATCTTTGACAAAACGATGGGGCAAGATCAAGTACCAAAAGGAAGTTCATAAACTTATGAAACAATTTACAAAATTGAGCACAAGTTTGTAATTAAACAGCTCACTTGTTTCTCAAGAAGAGATGGAAACATGCTCGATTGAATAGTTGACCCAACCCCTTGTTGTTTGAAGAAACCCTCCACTTCAATTGGTATTTTTCACAAAAAGCAGATATGAGATAACAAATCTAGTGTTTAACTAAGATTTCGAATAGCAGTCACAAATTTATGTTTATTATATTTCGCCTCTTCCTCAAAGAAAGATGAACAAACAATTCCCAATAATGGTCCATGCGAATCGGATCATCCATGTAATATAAAGAAACTCTAGATATTTGATAGATTTCTCTTTGAATAAGATCTAAATTCCAATGACAGTTTCATTAGATATCTCACAACAAGAATCCCTCTTTTTCCAATCCAATTCCTCCACCACCACGAACCTCAATTAGATTCATGCATGCTATACTTTTTAGTTATTGGGAGAACACAAGTTCTCTCTTTGGGATTTAGAAAACAACCCTCAGAGATCTTTTCTCTCAACTCCCAATTGTACAAAAAGCTTTAAAAAGTAATATTTAACCTATACAATGTATCATTTAACTCTATACCATCAAAAGGTCACCACAAATGATCCGCATAAGGCATGGGAAATTAGAAGCCAGGACTTCTTCCTCCTCTTCCCGACTTTAGTAGACCCCCACCAACTATGAAAAAGCTCTGTCGCTCCATAAGGAAATACCCACTCCATCCCAAATCAAGATAAAAACGTCTTAAGCTCTCTCACCACTTGACAATTGATAAGGACATGACTAAACGATTCACCACCTTGCATCTTCATCTTATTTACACACATAGCACCAATTGGTGGGTGGGTTGGGGGTTTGTGTTGTCTGCTCAAGGAGGATCCTGGCGTTTGACATTCAGCAAAGAAAGGACACTTGTTCCTAATTGGTGGTGTATCATGCATGTTTACGAAGACAAGGATATTAGAGGACCATCTTCTTATTAATCTGAAGGTGGTCAGGGAAATTTCCTGTCGATTGTTGGCGTTACTTAAGCAGCATTGGCTGATATAATGCCTTAGTCAAAGAAATGGTAGAATAAGAACGAAAAATAACTATTGAAATTCTGCATTGCTTTCTTTGATTGATATGGTGAATTCTGGGAAGGGAATCAACGAACCTTTGAACGTGTGGAGAAGCTGATTCATAGATTACATATATATATATATATATAAACACTTCATATCAACCATTTACACATATATAGCAGATCACTATGTTTGGGGCTTTGTTTTGCAGTGTTCATTTGAGACTGAAGTAAACAAAACAATTTGTAATCTTAGGAGGTCAGCCAACCTTAAATTTTCCCCTAGGACTCGTTTAAGAAAATACTAAAGGGTTCACAAAAATACGAATAATTCCCACTCTACCAAAAAAAAAAAAAAAAACAATAACAATAAACAATTAAAAGGATGCCACAAAAATGTTTCTGTTTCGAATCTAAAACCACAAGAACCGACTCATCACCCCCAAAAGACGAACGAATGTAACCTAATAAAATAAAAAATCGACATAAAAACAGAATAAAATTATGACAACAATTACAATGAGAAACAAAAATTAAGCAACAACGGCTTAATCTGCAGCACTCTGATGTCCAATAGCTATTCAGGTGTACAAATAACATACATATTTGTAGAGAGAGAGAGAGGGTACCCGCATCTCAGAATTGCCGAAGAAGGTATCGAAGAGCTTGCGAAATGCTTGTCCCATGGCGTATTTTGATCAGCGATTACTTTCTCTGCCTCTCTCTCTCTCTAAAAGGATCAGATTGAGCTCGAGCAAGCGTCGACGATCGAACTTTTCTTTGACAATGAGAGCACAGATGTATAAATCAATTAATTTTCGATGATCGGAGAGAGAGAGAGAGAGAGTTTGTTCAGCCCCGGTCACAGGTTGCTTTCTATTTCTTCCAGGTTTATTTTTTTTTATTTTTTATTAGGGAATCTTTAGCCAGAGCTCCAGATCAGCAGATTGCAAACAAATTGGGAAGAACAAAAATAAGGCAATTACCTGGAAGTGCCATTTAAAAGAGGAGAAATTTATTTAGTTTTATAAAAAAAAAATTTAATATTTTCAAAAGTTTATTGTGTATTTTTTTTCATCATTTTTTTTTTTTTTTTTTTTTTTTTTTTTTTTTTTTTTTCATCATTTTTTTTTTTTTTTTGTGTATTTGTTCTTCTTTTTCTCTTTTTCTTCTTTTCTGGTGATCAGCAATCACTTCTTATTTCTTCTCCTTCTCTTTCTCTTTCTAACATATAGTTATCGGCGACCCGTGACCATCATTGATTGGGATTCACGGGCAACTACCGAACATCGACTCCTTACTTCACCATCACCAATGGCGAATGAGACAAGTTTCTGGCGAAGAAGATAAGTAGATCTACATGATAACAAATTAGATCTAAATCAAAACTAGTTATCAGAGTACAATCTTCTCTATATATCTGTTTCTCTCTTTCGACCTCTCAGTTTTTCTACCTTTTCTCTACTACACACTTCTATTTTCCTGTTTTAATGAAGAAAATTTTTAAATTATGAACAAATTATTTTCGAGTTTTAGTTATATGTTGTGAAAACTGTAAGATTTTACAATTTCAATTTTTTTGGTGCTGGAATGAATTACGCTTTAAAATTGTAAAATTTTGTAGTTTCATAATATTCTTTAGAACTGTAAAATTTTATAATTTCACAACATGTTTTTCAGTTTGATTAATAAGGATAAATGCTTAATAGAATTATATTTTGAAACTGTAACATTTTACAATTTCAAAGCTTACTTTTCAGTTTGATCAATATTGGAGATTATTTGTTTAAACCCTATAAAAATTAAAAAATAATATATATATATATATATATATATTTCCCATTGTTGTTATTTATTTTTAATTTTTTTTCAAGTTATCGATATTTAGCACATTTATTATTTTTTTCACTACAATTTTTTTATTTATTTTTTTCGACAATATTCTAGACATTCTAGTAAATATTCAAAAAATTTCTTGACATCCAGCGAATATTTTGGACATTCCGATGACTTTCAATGTCATTCAGAACACTCTGGCAATATCCCAGCGAACTTCTGATGATACTCCAATGAACTTTCCAGTAATGTTGAATATTCCGGTGAGTTTTCGGTGACCGTCTGATGAAAATCCAGCAGTAGTAGGATGTAACAGCGTTTTTAAATTTATATATATAAAAAAATAAAAAATAAATAAAAAGAGATTTTTTATAACAATTAAAAATATATATGACAAATTAGTGCAAGTATTTTGTTTTAAAATTAGATGGATTTTGAATTTTGTGTATCAGACTTACTAGTAAGTACCAAAAAATAATTACAAAACTGAGTGGAATTAAAATAATGGATAAATTAGATTGTTAGTGCTTGTATTATTTTGGTCTTTATATTTTGGTACTGATATTTTAGTTTTGTCTCACATTAATCTAATTGTTAATATTGTTTTATGGTGAATGCATACATGAACAACATGTGTCATATTTTTAAAAGTAAACTTGATCAATTTAGTAGCTCAATTTCAACTAGTTGAATGAATTTTTTTGGTCAAAAATCCCAACATTATTAATTGGACTAAATTGATGTAAAATCTAAAATTAAAGGTTAAAATTGAATTAGTTGAAACTATAAAGACTAAAATGTTACAAGTTTCCCTAAAATAATTACATTAGACATGAAAAAACATAGAGTGATTCTACATACACTACAAAAGTATCTCCTTACACCCTTAAAATATTAAAATTTTATTTTATTTTGAGTACTACTATTAGCACCCCATGAATTATTTTGGATCTCTCAATTTTTAGCCTTTTTTTAATTAAAATAATAACCTCAAATAAAATTACTAAAAGGATATCATTAATTTTGGGACACCCCATCTTGCAATTAAACTCACACACCACTACATCATGAATTAGGATTTATGAGAGCACTCACCTCCATCACCACCCATCCATTTTTCACAAATCTCACCTTCAAAAACTACCCACCCTCAAAACCTTGAAAACCCTTTGGCAACAATATTCCAACGATAACAGTAGCAACCATTTGATTACCCATACTTCTCCGACAATGATATTGAGTGGAAGTTGTTTCGGCAAGTACAACTTCATGAGATGAGAGGAGTACAACAATGAAAGTTCAGAGGAAGTTCATGACTTTGATCATATTCTTTGCTCAAAGGAGATTAGCCTTATAAAGGTAAGTTTCTTGAAAAAAAAAAATGGCAAAAATAATAAAATATGTTCGTCATTTTTTTGGGACTGAGCTCCCGAACATATGACTGAAATTCAGGAACATAGTCCGAAACATTGTTTATTTGTTTGGAAATCGGTAACTGAACATTTATTATTTGTTCGAAAATCGATAACCGAACATTAATCACCGAAGAAAAGGATGAAGCGGCAGAGAGAGAAAGAGAGAAAGAGAGAGAGAGAGAGCAGAGATAGTAATCACACTTGGCTATTCTTCTTCTTCTTCTTCTTCTTCTTCTTCTTCTTCGTGGGTTTTTTAGAATTTTTGGAAGAGATTTTTTTGGAGTGTGGGGAGTGTGCATTCAATTGAATGGGTAAAATGTTTTCACAAAGATAATTTTGGTATTATTTGGCAAAACAAAAGAAATTTTAAGAGTTTCAAAATTTATAAGTGGGAGTTTAAAGAAATGGGAGATCCAAAATAATAGATAAGATACTAATAACACCGCTCTTTATTTTTTTACAATTTTCATAATACCACTCGCATCCCTACCATTACTCTTCTCCTTACGCCCAAATCTTTCAAACCCTTCTTTACCTCCACCCCATCACCACCACCTCCATCAGCCCACCATTGTAATCAACAACCCCAAGAACAAACCCATTATCTACCATTCTTCGATACACCGAAAACGCCGAAGAACCCATGCTCAACTTAGCAAAACACATCAAAAGAGAGCTATAACAAGGGTCTCGCATGTAATCGCATCCATTAACTCCATAATCTCATCATCACCATTACACTCTTTGATCAGAAAAATTATAGTCTTGTGTGAAATCATAAATAAACCACAAAATACCATTACCTTCAACAAATGAATTCTACTATCTAAGTCATAACAATGCGTTGATTGATTGCTTTCATACCCATCTAGAAAGCCAAACCTCAAGCTCGATGTTGTGATTGTGCTGTGCAAACATTGGAAGCTGCATCTAGAGGAATTTGAGAAACTAGTAATTTTAAGGGAAACCCTACTCCTCCTCTAGCGGCGCTAATCTCCCAGCGAAGGCGTGGACGTTCATTTTGTTACATTCTCTCTCTCTCTCTCTCTCTCTCTCTATATATATATATATATATATATATATAAAGCATGTGTTGATTTAAATTTTGAAACAAAACAAACTCCATCTATATATTTGCTTAAAATTTGAGGCTTTTGTTTTGAATTATTAAAACTCCATGTCTTTGTTCAATAGCTCTGTCTCTCTCTCTTAAATCTTCCTTCTTGTATGATTTGTTCATATTTTTGTTCTTATATGATTTGGGTATTGAACCTCGAGAGGATAAGGTTATGTCTGTTAATGGAGTAGGCTATGAGACCCGAAGCACCAAGACCAAACCAGAGTGGTGGCGTAGTGGTGGCGGATTGGCAGTGACAGTGGTGGGCCGGTGGAAGTGGTCCTAATGGGGTGGAGTTGGAAAAACTAGGGTTTGAAAAAAGAAAATGAGTAAGAGCACTAATTAGTGCTATCACTAATGATGTGGCAATGGTCTCATCCACTGCCACAGTGCTGTTATGTCTGTTTTTTTTTTTTAAATAGATGCCAACTCATTAGTGCTAGTTTAGAGCATCACTTTTAGTAGTATGTATCATTGTTGTTCTCTCATTACTGCTAGCTATCCCTCTACCTTATCAAAGCTATAATGAAATTTTCAATGAGTTCTCCTAGAACAATTTACTAAAGTTGATGAATTTATATTGTCATTGACTAAAGTTAGTAAAATTCATCCATGAAAATTTACAAAAATTAGTGAAATTAGTTAATGTAAATTTATTAAAGTAGATGAAATTTCAAAGATCCCAAAATAGTGCAATTTCTAATTGAATGTTGAAAATTAAAAACTTCGTGGCCATTTGCAAAACTTGGTGCTTTATTTTAAATTTAGGTTTAGAAAATTAAAAATTAGTACAATATTAATTCATTTATTTAAAAAAATTCAAAATTCTCTGCTCTATAACAGAAAGGAATTCTTTTGTTATACGACATAAAAATAAGCAAACTTAGTAGCTAAAAATCAACACCACCACCAACCACAACTAATAGAACTAAAAGCATATAATATTTCTCTAGTTGGCATATAGAGCTTCTTAGAGTTTTTTTTTTCCCTCCTAAATGCCTTCATTTTGTGAAAGACATTCATCTTTCTATTAATCGAGGTAAGGACAAGGTGGTTTGAGGAAAGACTAGCTATGCTGAGTATATGGTCAAATCTGGATATTCAATAGCCCTAGAACAAAAGTGTTGAATGCTCAATCTTGTAATAGATCAACAGATAGAATTGGAAAGAAGCTTTGGATTTTTAATCTGCCTTGAAGGGGGCACAATTACTCAAGCCCATTTGTATAAGACCAAATCTGGCAAGAGTAAGGTCCCCACTCTGAAGTGGACTGAGCTAAGGGTCAATCTTGGCCTATTTCCCACTCAGAAGTAGGAAAGGCCATGGGCCCAGCCTAAGCTCCCTTTGTCACTCTAGTGTAGGCCGAGATAGAGGCCCAACCTTGGCCCTTTTCCAACTCTGAAGTGGGCAAGGCCATAGACCTAACTCTGGCACCCATCTTCACTCCGAAGTGGGTAAGTCCATGACTTAGGCTCCATAGCCTCCACTCACTCTAAAGTGAGTTAAGTTGATTTAAACTCAAACAGAACAACCAACACCATGTGAGTGAAGGGCGTGGTGAACAGAACTGCTCAACAGAGTCTTTACTC